CTCCCAAGCCATTCAACTTTTATTTCTCTTTTTGCATCGCGGTTTCGGATGTGGAAGCTGCATACCTGTGTCTTATCTGAATTGGGTCTTAGTTGGTTATTTATGTAATAATTTGTTAATTCTTGAAGTGATCTGGTAAGTTTACGTTCGACTATTTGGAAGGTTGTGCCCTGCGCTGCTAGGGCCAAGTCGTCTGCATATAAGAAATGTTTTGTTTCTTCAATGCTGGTTTGATCGATGGTGTATACATTAAATAACATAGGCGCTAATACACTACCTTCGAGTAAGACATTTCGCTGGTATCTCCGTGTGCTCCATTTGTTATTTAGCGTGACTGTAAAACGCCTGTTATGTAGCATAGAAGATATTATTAGGACAAGAGGTGCCAGTAATTTGTGCATTTGTATAACTTTTTAAGTAGGAAATTATGGTTCACCGTATCGTACGCTGCAGACAGGTCTACAAAAACCACCCCTGTAACTTTTTTGCTCTCGTAGCCGTCCTCTATATGTTGGCACAGATTTAATGTCCTTTACAGTTTTTACCTGGCCTAAAACCAGCTTGCTCAGTGATAAGTTTTTTTTTCGATTTGTTCTTTTATACGGTTCATAATTATTCGTTCATACAGTATAAATGTATGGCAGAGTAGAGATATCGGTCTGTAGCTTTTATAGCGTCATTAATTTATTTAGGTATTTTTTTATCGATTTTTATTGATTATTATGTATTATGCAATAATTATTATCGCTCATATTATTGTTATCAGTCGATATCTACGTGATAGTAAGCATACCACAAGCGGTTCATACGACTCGTTCGTTACCACTCTACAAAAAGTAGTATACTACAATTTAATTAGCGAGTGGTGTTCAAGAATAGGTATAAGCAGATGACACAAAGCGTATACGACTTAGCCATGCGACTGTAGTCTTAATGTCGTATTCTATTTATTTTCGCTTACATGTCGAATGTGTTCGAGAATCGACCACCTGGTAGTCTTTGCCTGGTTCGGGCAGCGCCACTACCTTTGCTTTTCTCCATGTTTTAGGTACCAAGACCTTATCGCGACAAGAGTTCAAGAAATTTAACAGCTATTGTTTTGTTTTTGTGCCGAATTGTTTTATCTGTTCTGTCATGGTTTTATCCGGCCCTGGTGCTTTGCAGTTTTTCATCTCTTTGAGGCCTTTATTTAATTCGGAAATAGGAAAATCAAGCTGGAAACTATTTTGCTCACTGTCTCGGCATCTGATGAGTTTTTCTTTCTTATTTATAATTCCCGATTTGCCTAATTTTCCTTTTAGAAGTAATTGTGTAGTTACTTTATTTGCTGTTACTTTTATGTCGTTCGTAATGGACGGCGATTATATTGGGAAATACCTTGTGTGCCTCCCATGTAAATATTTTTTTTGAATATAGCTACTTTAGATTTCTATAATAATGGGAACTTACTTTTAGGACGAACCCAGTATTATATTATAATATACTACCTGATCCTGTGCACTTTGTTTCCCGTTAAATGTACCAACTCTATATAACTCAAACTTTTTTTTTTTTTATTGATCTTAAGCTTCGACAACTATGGCCATTAGCTGTAGTGGTTTATTTGTGTGTTGTTATGTCGGTAGGGGGAGGAACACGCGTGTGTTGGGTTTGGCAGAATTTTGAATGGGGCACCCGTAGGTTTCTGCCATGCCCCGGAGTGGGGGATGGCGGCACTTGTTCTCCGGACACCGTGACTTGCCCGGAGAAAAATACCGCCCAGTGGTCGAGAGGATCGAACCCGCGACCGCCAGCGCCGCAGACGACGTGTCCGACCGCTCGGCCACCTCGTCCCCCTAACTCAAACTTTGTTCAACTCGTTATGTAATATTCGATGTATGGTGATTGGTGTTCAAAATGTATCTTAACTTTTCTGTTGCCTGGAATACAAATTCTGACTCGCAGCAGTATATTATCAGGTAGGCAATCTACCCGCGGTTTGTACATGACTTTATAATTTAACTTTAAAGTATCAGACATACCAAGTATGCGCAGAGTCTGTCTACCAATATTTCCTCCTCGTCCACGAAGACGTGGCGTTGTTTTATGTTCGTAACTTATATGTGAGTATAACACGCTTAATATTTACGTAATTGCGATGCATATAATATCAAGACAGCGTACAAAAAAATTATAATAGTTTTAAAACCAATGGCAACCATTTATAAACAAAAATGTCCACCGTAAATATCTAAATCCCCGTTTGAGAACATCCCCTGGTTGGACCTAGGGGGATGATTTGTGAATCTTAACAATCCGGAGTCACACAAACGCATACGAAAAAATTCATTCAAATCGGTCCAACCGTTTAGGAGGAGTTCAATAACAACACACGTACCTACAGTAGATTATATATAAAAAGATAATATATTATTATTATTCCCATCCTTTTATTGAAACTTATTCTTTCTAAACTAAACTGTTGTTTTTAATAAAGAGTTTATAGTATTTATTTTTGGCTGGGGAGCATAATCAACAGTGATGGAAGAAATATGAGTGAAATAATAAAACTGTGGAGCCAAAATAGCCTTATCAACAAGAAAGCTCTACTTGCACCAGGAAACATTAGTCTAAAAACAAGAAAAAATCTATTGAAAACATATATATGGACTATGGAGTATAGCCAGCCCTTAATGGATGTGAAACTTGGACAATATCAACGGAAGGGCGAAAAGGCTAGAGTCGTTTGAAATGTTGTGCTACAGAAGAATGTTAAGGATAAGTCGGATGGACAGAATAACCAATGTAGAGGTACTGGAAAGAATAGCAGAAAGAACCTTACTTCGGAAAAATGTTGTTAGAAGACGAAACGAATGGTAGGCCAAATAATGCGGCACGAATACTGATTATAAAATGAGTAGAAGGGAAAAACCATAGGGGAAGACCAAGATAAGAATATATTCAACAGATAATAAAAAACCAAGGATGCAACTCATGTAGAAATGAAAAGGAAAGGTGATAATAGAGAATAATGGAAGATGGCTGCAAATTAATCCACGGATTGAAACTATAAAGAGAGAAATATTATATTTTCATCCTTTTGTAATATTTATAAAAAAAAAACAATCGTCGGCACGTCCATTGTTTTTATTTTTTCGATATCATTTATATCAAAAAAATATAAAAACGTTGCACAGCCATAGTTCTCCTTTTTATGTGGTGAAAATCTCGTTTCTTAGTTATGACCGTAGCCTTCTTGGTCCTTTCAAATACAAAACAGTTTTTGCTATGTTGTACAATTGTAAGACGGAGACAGCTAACACCTGTGCAACGTTGTTTATATTTTTTTTTTGATATCACTTATATAAAAAAAGTTACTACTGTTTCAAAAACCATTATTGTTTGTGTTTTTCAAACTTGAAAAACTTTTTTCATATAAATGATTTCAAAAAAATAAAAACAATGTTGCACAGCCATAGTTCTACTTTTACGTGGTGAAAATCTCGTTTCTTAGTAATGATTGCAGCCTTCTCGGTTCTTTCCCGAGCAAAACAATTGTTGCTATGTTGTACATTTTAAAATAATTTAATAACAAGACGTCATATACGTCATATATTAACATATTAATAAATTAAAGTAATTATTTATTAAATTATTAATAATTTTATGTAGTTCACCATGTCGCCATGATATTATGTCCATGTCCCATTTATTTATGTGACTTATTAAGAATATCATACATTTCATCATTATATACATAATATATTTTAACTTAATATTTTCTGTTCCATGTATCTAATGGAAAAATGCATTAATTTACTTATTACTTACTTTAGGAATGTCATAGCGATTGAAATGTCTACGTCTGTTGTTGTCTAATGATTTCGTTTGTTATGTTTTGTAAGTTGTCGGTACCTAGCTACCAGTGACGTAGCCAAGAACAGTATATGGGGGGAGGGGGTACTATAGTCCCCTCAACCACCCTCACTATGCCACTGCTGTTTACCTACCAACCAGTCGTTTTTCCAAAAAACAACTAATTTAATATCAAATAAAATGTGTACAATTTTAAACCATCTAAGGATTAGATTTGATTTCATTATGTCAAAAGCTATACTTATATATTAGGGACCCAACTAGTGTGATACCTGAAAAAGTACCTTACTAGTGTAGTACTTAATATAATCCCAGACCCTAGTGTAGTACCCAACTCGGATGCACCATACATTTCAGCACTGAGTCAATGGACTTGGAGGAATATATCTAAAATTTCATTTAAACAATTTAAAATTGTATAAATATTTTAAGCTAAAAGTAAAAAAAAAAATTTAGACAAATTATTAAAAAATAATAGAAAATACATACTTTTTATTCTATAGAAAAAAAATATTAAAATAATAGTACATAACTTTCGAGTTTTAACATAGTAATGGTATGGGTACTGTAAGCTAATAAAATTAAAAAAGGTTACAATTTATTTGCATTTACTCAATACTCTACATACACATAATATAAGTATATATTATACAAAATGTAATGAAAACATTTAAACATAAGAAATATAAAATTAGTCACTAATCATAATAATTATTTTTATTTAATACTACAAAATAAATTAATAAATCCTTTCGTACAATAAATACGTGGGTATAGTAATCAAAAATTATAAATGTAACAGTCTTCTATAAATATATTTATACATTATTATAATGTTGAGATATAAACGCACATTAAATATAAACATATAACATCAATATTTAAATGATAATATAATTTCTAACATATCTTCTCCTACCATATCGGAATGATATTAATGTTTTATTCAAATAATAAACAGCCAATTTGTCAGTCTTAGATACATAACAATTATTTCTTGCCTGTAAAAAAACCCAATTCAAAATAATATTATTTAACCTAAATTTTAGTATTTTAAAAGATATTTTATGATTTTATACATTAAAAATCAGAAAATTAGCATTCGGCAAAATAAGTTAAATATTCTAAGTTAAAGTTGTACCAAATTATTCGTCATCGGAGTCATCTACCAGATTAATTATATCATCATTTGAAACAGGATCAGGAGTAGGTTGAGATGCTTTTTTCTCAGGTTCAATATTTTTTTTCTACAAATAAAATATATTTATTTCTTTATAAATATTGAGTAAATATTATTTATACATACTTTAGTTGGAGAATAAGACGTCCTTTTACTATTAACAATTATAGCTTTACTTGACTCAACGCTTTTTACATGTTTTGCTTTACTGTTTTTATTGAACTCAGTCAATAACATATGTTGATGTCCAATAACTCGATCAACCTAAATGAATAAATATAAATTTAAAACATTCAATAATACTCTAATGGAATGTTTTTAATAAAAGTATTCAAAATCTAATTGTTTACCCATTTTAATTTCTCGCCATCTTCAATTTTTTCATACTTGCTTCCAATTCCATGTTTTTTAACATGCCATGCCATTTTCTTTGGAGAATCAGATATTTCAAAACATATCAAGCATTTCCATCTACAGATCACAAAATTGTTAGTAAAATTCTGTACTAAAAAAAAAATTTGGAAAAAAAATCTGCTTACGTTTTATAATTGACTTCTTTGTATAAGTGCTCACGGAAAAGTTCTATACTTATAGTTTCAAATCCACAATACTTAGGACAAACAAAGTAACCGTTTGAAGATATTGCTCCTAACTTATCATTCTTATTGAAAACGTCTATTAACGTTTTCTGTTTATGAGGTTGAATTGGAGAGCTCTTAGTTGCCGATTTTGGACTCTTTGCCATACCACGAGATTTATTGGAAGTTTTCAATGGTGTTGATTCAATAGGAATTCCTCGACAAGTAGGAGGCACGAGTGTAGGTTCAATACTTTCTAAAGCTTGCTGTTCTAGCATGTTTTCCGTACCATATAAATGTTTGGATTGTTTGTGCAACTCTTCTTTATCAGAAATCTAAACAATGCGTATAACTTTGAAATTATACTCAATACTTATTCTAGGTTAATATTTATTATTTATTATAAGTTCAAATCTGGGTATCCCTTGAATGTATATCTTGAGTTTTAAAATATTTTATACAGTTAATTGTGAGCATTGTATACTACTAAAAAGAATTAAAAATCTACACTTACCTTTTCAAACACTCTTAAGCACTTTACTGCAACCGACGGATGTTGCAACCTATAATGTTCTTCAAATATATTAGCATTATCATCCTCGTGTTCAAATTGACACATAGGACATTTAAACATATTTGATACTTTATGTGCCATGAGGATATGTGATGTTATCTCATTTTCTGTATATCTTAAACCATTAGAGCATATATTGCATATCCACTGAGGCAAATTAGACGGAGCTATAATGTAAAATACAATTAATAAATGTATTGTTCTTTCCTGAATTAATAAGTTCATTTTAAATAAGTTATAATAATAGTAATATACCTTTGCTTCTACCTCTGTCAATACTATCATCTTCTAACATTGTTTGTCTGATTACAATTATATTGGATTGTACTGAACTAGTTATTTCTGATAGGTGGGTATTTCTCATGTGTGTTCTCATTTCAACTCGATTGAAGTCAATATACTGACAGTATTGACAACGATATAAATTTGCACCATGGTGCATTAAATGAAATTCTATTTGATTTCGTTCGACAAATTTAGATATAATGCATGGGGGTAAACAATGTGGACATCTATAAAAATAAACATTTGTAAAAATAGACGGTGATTCTTCAAAGACCACATTAAATTTCAAAAAGTATTGACTTTTTTAAAAACGTTTTTTTAAATGTTTGATACATACTCTGAGAAATATGTAAAACTTTTAAAAAATAAAAAATGATTATAATTTACTCACATGTAACACTCATGAGTAGGATGAAGAATTGATATATGTTTCTTTAGCATATCCTCTGTCACACCTGTATAAGTACAACTAGTTACTGAACATTTAAACCGCATATTTTTTGGAATGAACTGTGGAAATATCTCTGTATTTAAATTGTCATCTGGAGCTACTTCAACAATTTTCTTATCTAGTTCATCTCTTTTAATCTGTAAAATAATATAATTAAAAATATAGATATACAGTGTACCCTCGATTATCTGAGTAATAGGCATCTACAAATAAGCGAGCCCCGCGGATAATCAACAAAATTCAAATTGAAACGAAAATTCAATAATTTAATTATTAAAAAACTATAATTCTGTAAATCTTGTAATGTTATATAAGTAGTATTTAAGGAAAATTAAATGAGAACCCCTTTAACCCGTCGTTGGTGACGCTATGAGCATTTTCCTCACATAACTGTTATTTTGGGAACCATTGGCTGCAAATTATTTTGTTTATATCGATATTTTTAGTATGCTCATACAAGTTACTAATGGAAAATAATACGTGGAAAATATCTTATCTATATATAAACTTTCCCTCTTATCACCATCAAATGTTGACAGTTACCAGCACGGCCCTTAGTATTTGCTCGCCGGGGTTTGGCGGACAGTTATTTTAGTAAAAACATACCAATATTTCTTCCATCATACTGATCAACCTAGATTTGTTGTAATGTCTACTTATTTATAGATTAGTCAGTCCACTTTTCCCAATTTCCCCATTCCAAAAATAATTAAATGTGAGCGAAAAGCTAACACGTCACTAATGATGTAAAAAATTAGCGTCACCAACAACGGGTTAATTTTTATCAAAAATGTCTAGGCACCCCTGAATACAGTATTAAACTTCTATAGTGTATAGTTTTACAATTATTTTTAACTTTATCATAAAAAATCAAAGCTGAACGATAATTTAAATATTGTATAATTCAATAATTCTCATATCACATATTATTTTTTAAGTTTGAATCGAAATGTCATTAATTAGAATTACAAATTGTAAAAAAGAAAAATGCACACAAAACAAATCAACTATAAAAATAATAATGAAAAAAAAAACACTTACCTTTTCAGTATTCATGGCATCGAATGCACTAGCAGAGAGATTGATCATCTTATCAAACATAAGTTCACACTTGCCAATAGAAGGTACAGGATTAACGATTTCCTTAGTAGTATTATCTTGTCCTTTTGTATGTCCATTCAAATGTATAACAAGATTGGACCGCACTTTTGTACTGTATGTACATAATGAACAGCTAATCGGATCTGAGAATATATGAGACATTGGAATACTGTCAATAGTATCAGGAGAAAAAGTTTTTGATTGGTTTTTAATTATGGGTTTTGCTTTTGGTGATCCTTTCTGGTTGCCAAAATTCTAATTTATAAGAAACAAAAAAAAAAACATACAGACAAAATCCTAAATAGCTTTGTGTTGGTAATTGATTAATTTTAGAAACTAAGTAGTATAATAAAATTAAATAATAACTCACAGTGGAACGTTTTCTTTTCAAGCTTGCATTTTGTTGTTCATTCTGTTGAGGCATTAAAGAATTTCCTGAGTTATTTGTGTAATTTGGTTGTTCTGGCGTTATATTATTTAAATTAACTTCACAATCTATATTTTGCTCAGCATTATGAACAGCCTTCATATGAGAAATAATAATTTTACGAGTATTACCCTTAAATGGACACTTGTTACAAGTTAATAAGCTATTCTTTTGTTTCTTCTGTTCAATTGTCTTATCTTCAAATACAATAAAAGTATCTTTATTTAAATTGTTTAAATTAGAAATTTCAGGTACAAAATCTAAATTTATGATTTTATGACTATTTCTCATATGCTGTGCAATGGCTCGTTGAGATGGTATTTTTAAATTGCATAAAGAACATTTGAAACGATCAGGTCCGTGAAGCTTGATATGTTCAGTCAAGTTAAATATAGTTTTGAATACTTTAACACAATGCATACATTTTTTTCCAGCCACATAATCCCAAAAAGGACAGACATTAAGGTGTTCGAAATATATTTGACCATTTGAGAAAACTTTTTCTACAAACCAAACATTTCAATTTTTATATAAAATTATTTATTATTAAAAATTGAAAATAATTAAAATAAATACTTACCACATTCATTACAAACAAACAATTTATCCAATTCAATCATTGGAAATGCCAATCTTTTAGCCTTATTTGATCCATTGATTGATTCTTCAACCTCTAAACATATTCGTTTTGTAGGACCCTCATTAAGTTCTTCTTTCTCTGACAAATCATCGTCTTCATCATCAATAACAATAATATCATCATTTGATGAAACTTTAGGCTCTTTTTCTTTGTTATTAGATTCAGACCAAATGTGATTTATTTTCAATGTTTCTTGCATATCGTTTTGGTTCACATCATCAATCATTATAAATTCATTATCAATAGCTAACGACATTGATGTACTACTTTCTGCCATTTGTGCACCATCGGGAACTGTAATAACAATTGTATCTGATGCTTGAGATCCTTCATCAATGCGAGCAGATTTCATAGCTACTGATAGGACATCAGGGCACTCAATAGATCTTTTTTTAGATCGCTGTGTCAAAACTTCAGGTACAGAGATTGCTTCCAAGGGTAAATTTACTATCTCTACCATCCCATTATCAATAACCTTTGTCAATTTTAAAATTTTCAGATTTCTAATATTTTTAGATTCCTGTAATAGTAAGTGTTTAAATGATTAAAAACATTTCATTGATGTAATTATTAATTGTTAATTATTTTGATTAAATATGCGTACACAATTATCAGATACCGTAGAACGCTCCAAGCATAAAGGCTCATATTCAAAATGCTCTAACGCTAAATGCTTTATCATTGAATCAATAATTTCCGTACCAAATAAGCAAAAAATACATTGATATTTATTTAAGTTATGAAGCTTAAAATGCTGTAAAAAAAAAAAATTGATTAACACACATTTTATTTTAATTGTGAAATATATTTTTTATTATCCTATTTTATAATTACATGATTTACAAATCACTTTGATCTATTAATTTATTATTTAATAATATTATGTAATATGTCTATGTGTACACAATTCAATTGATAAAAAATTAAAAACCTAACAAACAATTACAATCTAAAGGTGAAAACTGTAAAACCTCATAAATGTTAGCAAAATGAAAGAAAAGAATTTTAAAGTAAACCATGTAAATATTGATAGTTTAAGACGTCCTTATTTGTTAAATCTGATACATCATGCTTACTGTAATCATTAAATTTGGTTGGAGTGCAAAAAATCCTTCACCGTCATCTTTATCAGCACAAATGTAACAACAGAATTTATCACACTGTTGATGTTCTTGATTCAAATGCTCAACAAATTCGTTTTGCAGAAAACAAGAAAAACTGCAGCAACCTTAACAAAACCGAGTTAAAATAAAGTTAATGATGATGCTAAGAACTAAAATTGAACTATTACTATTTTTATTGATATCAACAAATAAAATAAGTATTAATGTATACTCTCGTCACTCGTAGACAACAAGATAGCCGAGTACACGATATCACTGAAGTTTAGCCACAATACGTAGTTAATATATATTACTATTATACCTATTATAATATATTATTTATATATATTATCTATGCATCCATAATATGAATAGACGCCTAGAAGTGCCAACAGACTACAACAGTCTACAGGGCAATGTTTACGAAATATTATAACTGATAACAGATTTACTCCTATATTTTCCATCCGAGTGCACTGACTAGACCACGCACCACAACAGATCTTATAAACTGGATACGACATTCATGTAATTGAGGCTAATGTGCTTTTGCGGCCCATAAAAAATGTACAATTGAACTGATAATAATTTGAGGCAGTTTGTTTACATTTATGACACGATTATATACACGTAATTAGTATGATTGTAAAATCACTGATAAGACGGTACCTATATTATGTTATGTCCATAATATTTACAAGATCTATGACCACATTTACTATAGCAGACTAGAGACACAGACGTCTTCTATACTAGATTTATATAGATAAGGGACTCCTATATAATTTACATCGTTACAAGTGAAGCTCAGCTGTGCCGCTGTGGACGGCCGCCATTTTGTCGGTTGGCAAAACATTTCATTAATTATACAAAATGTATTCGGAATAACCATAGGCGGACATCGGGAGGGGGGGCTTAGCCCCTCTAAATATTTTAATAGCCCCCAAAAATCGAAACTTAATTTGAAATGTCATTCGTTGTTTTCATAATTATGTTATCGTTTTGTTATGCATTATTATTAGTTTAACACATCTATCACATAAAACTAGTTTTGAAAATGTGTGGAGAAATGGCCTTTTCGAAATGACCGATTCAATTTACCACGCGGTCACGAGCATATTCGATAGACGACGTGTTATCACTTCTTATCGATATGTCGAGCGTCGGCTCGCGGGATCACGACCGTTGTCGTTTGACGTTATTTTAATATAGAAGATGTTATTCCGAATAACATTGTTTTTAATGGTAAAACGATTTATACAGTACTATTTAATGGAGTAATCTCAGTTTTTATTAGACTAGGACAACTTTTCACTGTTTTTCCGCTTCAATTTTTTTTCACTCAGATTCTCATAGCATAGTGCCAGTGGTTAAGGGGGGGGGGTAAATATGCCGACTTAAGGTTGATGTAAATACTAGACTGGGACAAATTCCCCAGTTGCCCCCCTCCCCCAAATGACGCCACTGAGTCATACAGAAATCTGTGGACTGTGACTAGAGCACAGGGTTTGCGTTTGCATCATGACTATTTGTCATGGTTTTCATTATGTAATTATCACTAGTGTAGTAGATAACGTAAATTTCATATTATTACGATACTAAAATACACATTCTATACATTTTGTACATTTTACACGAGTACAGAAAAATGACACAACTAATTTTGAAAGTCGTGTGGTGTCGCAAATTATTTATTATTGATAGCATATTATTCCATTTACACCAGTATAGCGTCGTTGCCAAGTAGTAAGTGAACCCTACGTTCCTACGGTATGGTGTCAGTTTGGATCATAATATAATACAACTAATATTCACTTTAATACAGTCAAATTCGCTTATAACGATCTTCAAGGGACCTAGGGAATCTGATCGTTATAACCGAACTTCGTTATATCCGGATCGATCATAAAAAGTAACATGATTTTCTTGAAATATTGATTTATTAAACACATTTTTTTATGTTTAATTATATTTAAGATTACATTGTATTTTAGATTCTGAATGGAACGATGAATGTATTGATTTTACAATGATGTGTGTTATTTTAATTTTTTTTTTTGTGTCTGTCATCACCTTTTAGGACAGTAAGTGCTTGGATTTTCTTCCACAGTATCTTTTCTGATAGGAAAATGAATCTAGTTGGTATCTTGGTGGGTCAAAGGTAAAAACTTCCCGGTAGTTTTCAAAAGCGACGTGAAAAACAAAAGACGAATTAAGGAAAAACGGGAATTTTTACGCAAAATCTGTTTTCGAGAAAATCGATTTTGGTTTTTGGTGTAAGTCTAAAACAAATGACCGTAAAATACATAACAATTTTTACTGACTGTTTATATTAGCATTTTCTATACACCATACCTTTTTTTAAATATTTTGATTTATTTCGAGCTGTTTACGGACATTTCCAGTTTCCAATTTTTTTAGTTTTTTATTCTATAAATATCAATAAAATTGTATTGGTTGGTTAAAAAAGCTTGAAAATTTAATAGATGGCTTCTAGTAAATTTTTTTAAAGGCAGATGAAAAATATTAAAAATCCTTTGAGTTAAGAATTCGTGAAAATTTTTCTTTTTAAATTGTAATACAAATTTCTTATAAGATTATCTACCTTTATCAACAAAAAAATCTCTACTGGAAAGTCAAATTAAATTTTTATGAGCATTTAAAGTTCATAATTTTACAATATTGGATATTCACTCGATTTCTCATATAGCGATTAATTTATTTTGTTGTCATTCAAAAACGAATTACTGTAGATACATGAAAATTTCACTGAATATTTATATTAGCATTTCCTATCCACCATACACTTTTGAAAATATTGTTTTATCTGTTGGGCCAAAAAGTGTAAAAATTTAATACAAGGCTCCTGATATATTGTTACAATAGCAATTGAAAAATATTAAAAATACATAGGCACAATTTTTTTTTATAAGCATTTAAAGACCGAATTTTGACAAAATTTATCAAATTTAAAATTGAATAATTATTTTGTAGTTAAATATTTATAAAATGTTCAACTTTTATATCTAAGGATTGATCATTTAAAACAAGATTCCATGTAAGTAGATAATTCTATTACCAAAAAATCTGAAAAATACACAAGCACAGTTTATTTTTATAGTATTTCAATAAAAAAATGTAAATTGATATAAAATAGGAATATCAAAATCATGTATAACATGCCCGATAAAATATAAATATGCCAAATAGGCAAAAAAAACCTCTAATTATGCAAAATAAGACTTCACATATTTAACCAAGGTACCTTGAAATGGATTTCTATGTCTTCTAGCATTAAATACAACTTGGGCAATCTTGCAATCTTCATGCGAATGCATGAACTTACGAGCCCTGCGTATGAGCATTAATGCATTTTTATTTTAACTACACTTTACGTTAATCATTTTACATTTTAACTAGAACCAAAAAAATGTTCATGCAATTAAAATAAACATATAAAGTGAGTTATAACTTATAACTGTAAAATTTCTTCTGCATCCCAAAGACGACTACGAAAAAAGGTGTAATCCGAATTACGACCAAAAATGTATGTCTCGAATTTTTTTGCATTTTTAACTATAGTACTTAATACTTATTATACTAAACTAAAGCTGTGGCTCGATTAATATTTATTACTAACTGAATTACCAGGCGTTCTACTTTGTAAAAAATATGATTATTCAACTTATTTTGGGTGTAACACAAAACGCTGTGGAAGCAATGCCTTTTTAAGTGTAAATTATGTATTTTAATGTAGAGACCGACGTTGTCCGTGATATTCGCTGCAATATATTACTAGGTAGGCAATCAACCTGCGGTAGATCGCGGACCCCGTGTCCGTTTGGTTTGTACGCAGTGGCGCCGAAGTCCATGCTGACGTCGGGCCGTGGCCCGACCTCTTTTTTGAAAAATGTGGCCGGCCGGCCATATTTAATTTACATCATAACTTTATTATAAGCATGAGTAAATTTAAACCGTGATTATGAATACATTTATATTAGGGTACCTCTATATTAAATAATTAAGATATTGAGGCCGGGAAGTTTTAAAATTGCCCGACCACATTTTAAAAACTTCGGCGCCACTGATTGTACGTAAGTGTATAATTTAACATTAAGGGTTCATAGTTATACCAAGTTTGTCGTTTTTACCCTTAGACTTATTAATAGGTCTTAATAGGTCTATGTTTTTACCTACGGCAGATTAATGCAATCAGTTAATACAAAATCCTAACCTTACCTAACCGTACTTTATAAAAAAAAATAAACATTCGTATATCGTATGCAATATGCATTGATACAAAAGACAAATTAAAAAGGAAAAATAAGAAAAAAATAATGCGAAAAATTGGTACACCGAAACCATTGTTCGAATGGAGACATTAGGTACTAAAATCCCTGTTTGAGCACCTCCCCCTTAAATATCTTCTTCATCCCAGAGGTCTAACCTATCTCTATACAAAATTTGATCGCAATCGGTCCAGCAGTTTAGGAGGAATACATAAAGGACACACGCGCAAACATTAATTTTTATATATATATTATATATAGATTTTATTTTAAAAAAAAAATGTGCTCTGCTGTACAGTAGGTTATAAGTAGGTCACTGTATAATGGATGATATTAAATTGGAATTAAATGATATAATATCATTGTATAAGAAAAACGATTCTGAGAGAAGACGTTTTGTCAGTCTAGGTATAAGGCATATTATATATACTTAACTATGGTATTAAAAAAAATTGACCTATTATAGGTATCTATAATAAATTCCAAATTAATCATATCACAATATCCATTAGGTACTTATAACGCGTTATACATCAAACCCTGATACTATCATAGATATATAATAGTGTACTTAGAAATTTCAAGAACCCACAAATAATATTATACAATCACAACGAAATAACTAAAATAGTTATTCTAGGTATTTTTATGTAATTTCTCCAAATTTGAACTTAAAATGACTATAAAAATAAACTGTGCTTATGTATTTTTTAGATTTTTTGGTAACAGAATTAACTATATACGTGGAATCTTGTTTTAAATTTTCAATCCTTAGATATAAAAGTTGAACATTTTATACATTTTTAACTACAAAATAATTATTCAATTTTAAATTTGATAAATTTTGTCAAAATTCGATCTTTAAATGCTTATAAAAAAAAATTGTGCCTATGTATTTTTAATATTTTTTAACTGATATTGTAACAATATATCAGGAGCCTTTTGTACCAAATTTTTACACTTTTTGGCCCAACAGATAAACCTTTATTGATATTTATAGAAAAAAAAACTAAAAAAATTGTATGTAATGTCCGTAAACGGCTCAAAAAGGGTCAAAATATTTTCAAAATTGTATGGTGTAAGAAAAATTAAAAAAAAAAATTGATTTTGACTCTTATAGACATTTTTTTTTTTTTTGATATAGGTAAATAATCTTATAATGAATCTTGTATTACATTTTAAAATCTTAGATTTCAAAATCCAAGCCATCAAAAATTTTTACGAATTCTTAACTCAAAACCATTTGCTAATTTTCGTGATTTTTCCATATTTTGTCAATTTTTGGACTTTAAATATTTATAAAAAAAAAACTGGGACTAAGAATTTTTAATATTTTTCATCTGCCTTTGAAACAATATACTAGGAGCCTTCTATTAAATTTTCAAGCTTTTTTAACTAACTAATAAATTTTTATTGATATTCATAAAAAAAAAAAAAAAAATTGGAAACTGAAAATGTCCCTAAACAGTTCAAAATATTTTGAAAATGTTATCGTGTATAGAAATGCAAATATAAGCAACCAGTGAAAATTTCATTCATCTACGGTCATTTGTTTTAAAGTTACACCAAAAACCAAAATCGATTTTCTCGAAAACAGATTTTGCGTAAAATTCCTGTTTTTCCTTAATTTTTCACGGCGCTTTTGAAAACTACTGGGAAATTTTTACTTTTGACCCCCCAAAGTACCAACTAGATTCACTTTCCTATCAGAAAAGATACTGTTGCAGAAAATCCAAGCACTTTTACTGTCCTAAAAGGTGATGACATACACAAAAAAAAAATAAAAAAACACAATATCATTGTAAAATCAGTACATTCATCGTTCCACTCAGAATCTAAAATGACATAAATGTAAAATAAAAACGGCAAAACAACATTTTTAATCTACGTACCTCAAAAAAAACCTGGTAAAAATAATGCTACAGCCATGTGTAAAAATGGAAAGGAAAATGTAGTTCCTAATTAGTTCTTAGTGGCTCTGTAGTATGAGTAAGGTAAGTATCTCCCCGCCTGTCAAGGGTGACTGCGGGAGATCGTGGTTCGATTCCGCAATAGGGAGACAATTTGACGTGGACTATGATCACTTAAGTCGTTTGTTGTAGTTGTTGTCTGGACCAAATTGGTGTTGTATAAGAGTTAAGGAAATTATTTTAGAAGGGTGTACATTTTGTAAACAAATGTATGCTAATAGTCATCGTTTTAGGCGTTACGAAATTTTACAAATTATTGTGAGGTTATTTACGGTATTGTGGGAGAGTGGAAAATTCGGGAGACTATGTCACCACTTAAGAACTTTATAATTATGCTGGAAAAGGGGCGCTACTACATTATGAATCTGGGGAACTATATTTCTAAATACACAACCGACTACACTGGATATTCAAACTTAAACTAATAACTATACTCTGTCCCACGAGAGATCATGCCTGTTCTGCGCAGTAAGAATAAACCTCGTCGTCCGCGGTTGTCGGTCTGAGCCACAGATTTCTATACTACACTAGATAAGGAACTCTTATACAATTTACATTGTTACAAGTGAAGCTCAGCTTTGAACGGCCGCCATTTTGTCGGTTGGCAAAACATTTCATTTATTATACAAAATGTATTAGGAATAATATTTTTTTTAACGGTCAAATAAAATAGTAAATGTAAAATTACTTAAATAAAATATTTTTTTTTTTTTTGTAACCTAAATGTTTAGAAATAATAAAATACGATATAAAATAAATCATAATATCATCTTATTTGTCATATGAAATACCATGCAATTGCCAACCGATCTTGAAGCTTCAATTTATTCATGACCGGAGTTCGCAATCTAGTAATATATAGAAATCTGTGGTCTGAGCCGTCGAATCTCCTCCATGTGTCTACAGTTCGACCGACGACGGAAGACGAAAATACGAAATCGAGCGGCCGCGGCGGCGCTACCGACGTCTGCCGTCGACGTCGCTGTTTGGTGGGGGATGCGCGGAACCGACAAGTTTTCGATTTCTCGCGGCATGATCTCTCGTGGGACAGAGGTTTTATAACAAAATGTGGAAAATATTAAATAACCGAAAAACTTACCTACGTTGCATTTGTAAGGTAATACAAACTCCTTGAAGTCTACTACAAATAACATTTCTTTTGGATATTTGCAAGCACCATCATCGTATTCAAGTTTTATTATACAATGTTTGGATATGTTGGTATGAATTACAGACTGAAAATATACAAATATTTTTAAACACAGGAATTATAATATTAAAGTTATAGATAAAAATAATATTACCTGATGAACCAACACATGAGAGGCAGTATAAGCACGATAAAAACAATGAGGGCAAAAGTATTCACAAAATGTGTATTTTTCAGAAATGTGGTTAGCCAAAGATTCTTCATCATCAAACACTTTAAAGCAATAGGCACACATTTTAAACTGTTCAACATTGTAAATTTGGTTTTCTATAACACATAGAGATTAATAAGTAAACATATTATTTTGTATGAATACATTTTTAAATAAAACTTTTTACTTTTTTTTTTTTCTGCATTTGAAAAATGTAATTTCATATGTAATTTAAATAATTCTTTAGAGCTAAAAATTTTTGTGCAGGTTCTGTCCATACATTTAAAAAGACCCAAAAGTCTTGGCAGAGCAGACATTTCATTAAAAGCTAATCGTGTTTTCATTACATTCATCGGCAATTCTCGTACTTTTCTAATATAATCTTTTGTGTATGTTGTGTCTATTAAACAACAAATTGAACCATCTGCAGGCACACCATTATTAACAATTTGTTGACCTTCTTCAAGTAATATTTCGGAATTTGGAAGAATAATTTCACAATTTGTTTTTACTTTCATCCACATATTAAGATCACTGCCATCAGATGCACTTGAGTTTATTTTAGAAGTCTTTACTTTTTCCTAAACACAATACGAAAAAAAAATATTAGGTCTACAAAATTGAGTATTTCTTATTTTAATACAAAGTGTATGTACCTTTTTTAAACACTTAGCAACAGTAATTTGTGATGGAAACCTTTCGTCATTAGAACCATGATTAATGTTTAGATTCACTATATATATAAAAAAGAATACAGGCACATCAATAATTAATTTTACTTAAGTCTATTGTACAATATTAACAGCTGATATGCAGCTTCTAGAATAATTGTGATAGCAACTTGTAACATAATATTAAAAATAGAAAATACATTTTTGTTTTTAGGAACCCTGGGACAATCAAGAATTTATTTTAGTTTAGAATTGTATAAGAAATTAATAACTAATATTAAACATCTGCTACATAAATAACTACTAATATTTGTTTTTAGGTACTCTCAAAATAGTTTTGGGAACTAATCTAGTTTAGCAGCTCCTCGGAATTCCGATTTTTTTGTTTTTGAAACATAAGTAATTCGACAAGTTTAGAACGGTGGTGCAAAAACAAATTTGCGGAAATGATTAGTTTTGAAGTTATGAACTTGCGAAATTCGCGATTTTCGGTGTTTTAAAACTAGAATTAAAATAAGAATTAAATAAAATAAAATGATTAATCACTAAAAATAAAAAAAATATTATGGTTACAATTTATTTTATAATATTGTTGGATTAAAAATGTATTTTTATTAAATCACTATTTTAACGCTCCTCTAATGTGGGCAGTGATAACACAAATAGTGGCACTCGTCGCTGCGCTCCTCGGCGCCATAGCTCCGCTCCGCAAATGGAAAAATATCCCCAGACTTGCTATGCAACACCACTTTAAGTAGATTACAGGGTAAGTTATGTCGTAGTATATGAGTAGTGATTACGCAGTTAACATGTTTCCGAAAAAAATAATTTTAAAATTCGTTATAAGAGCGTTAAAATAGAGCGTTGCGCGCATGAGTTAAACACCGAAAATAGCAAACTTCGAAAATCTATAACTTCAAAACTAATCATTTCCGAAAATTTATTTTTGAACCTTAGTTCAAAACTCGTTGAATTACATGTTCAAAAACATGTTTCAAAAAAAAAATCGAAATTTCGAGGAGCCGCTAAACTAGATTTATACCTAGTTTTGTTTAATTCCACATACCTACTTACAAAGATAAGTCTGACATAAATATGATTTATTTGAAGTAAGAATATAAGTTTTAAATTACTACCTAACTACATGAAATTTGTAGCTGAAATACACTTGATACATATTACATACCTGATGTTTGACATTGGTTACCGAGTAATATATTATGGCTAGATTGTTCAGGGTTTCCAAACAGTATGTTTTCTATGAAATCTATGGGGGAAAATAAATAATATTTATAATTTAAAAAGTTAAGATCACAAATTTAATCATTACATAAATCATAAATATATCCAGTAAATCAATTAAATAGAAGCACTAAATAACAGAATTAAGTTATGCAATTTTTGCTATTATATATTATACATGTATTATATTTTTAAATTTTAATTTATTGATACTTGAATTCTGAAAGGTATCATAACTATTTTATAGATTCTTATGAGGTAAATATTTTTATTTATAAACTATTTTAAAAGTCTTTCTTGATTAAAATAGTTTATGCCATAGATATATACAACACAACTAGATAGCCGTCTAAGTCATTATATACTACAGTTGTGACCAGTGTTTGTAATGAACGCACAATCATATTTAGTGAAAGATACATGAACGTCACTCGTTATTTCCAAATAAACGTGAGTTACCATGTGTTTGAACGATTTTTAAGACGTTCAAATTTATTTACTATTTAATAAATATTGATTGATAATGGTACTAGTATTTATAATCAATGATTATACTATCATAATACATAATATTATATTACGAATTATAAAAATAAAATACGTGAAATTCAAGAGAGCATGGATGGACATAAAACAACAATAATATTATGATTTCCACGATAATGTAGGTATTAATATTTAAACGATACATAAAAATTAAATGAACAAACCAAATGAACGCATTTATATTTTCAAAGAACGTGAACCTGGACATTTGAACAAAATATGAACATGAGCGAGTTCCTTTTTTAAGCACTGAACATGAACGTTAATTCAATTGTTTAGTGAACGTTCTGGTTGTGAGCTTGTGACCAATGTTGAAGTGGGCCGCAATTTATAAAGCAGGCTATATTAACATTTATTTTACATTTGTATATAATAATATTATACTCTGATAATATAATTTCCTGCTTTGTAAATAGCGGCCGACTTCGATGATAAGGAGACGACTATCTATAGTTTATGTTATGTTCTTATCTTTATCCAAGAAACCTCAAAATAATGTTAAGCAAATTAATCAGCTTAATGGTATTTTAGAACACATTATAGAACTCTATTCAAGTTATGAAGGTATTGGTATACTTAGGGCCGATTTCACCAACACAGTTAATCACGGTTAACGCTTAATCGGCTGATAACAGATATTTAACCGGCCAAATTCGGCCGATTAAAACTCCGGTTAACCTTAACCGTGATTAAGGGCCGCTTTCACCAAATACTTTAAACTTCGATTACGCTTAATCGACTGATAACAGATATTTAACCGGGCAAATTCGGCCGATTAAACCCCGGATTAACTTTAATCGGAGTTTAAAGTATTGGTGAAAGCGGCCCTAACTGTGTTGGTGAAATCGGCCCTTAGCAGCATGGCAAATTAGATATCTAGTATCATCACAGTATGATACGCATCCTCCGCTCTTTACTTCGTCTTTATCGTAGTTCACCACTTCATTATTGGCTATCAATCGTATTATACGTACATATTATACAACATAAAAATAAATCAACCAATGAAAAGTGGAGAACTACGACACTGGTCGGAGGTCAAAGAGATCGCATACTGCTCAAAACGGGAGTTTACCAATTGCGCTTAAAATGACCTTTTAATATACCAATTGCGCAATGTCTTTTTTGGGTCGATATACCAATTGCGCTGTCTTTTTTGGGTCGATATACCAATTGCGCTCAGTTATTTTCAGGGTTTATAATATTATTCTAATATTAATATGTTTTTAATAATATTTATATTTTATATATTAATATTAATATTAATATTATAATATTATAAAAATACTTTAATGAAAATAATATATATTATAAATAGATTTTTTCAGTCAATACAAAAAAATTATACAATGACGTCAATTTCAATAATATTTGTACAATATAAATCTATACCAAATCATAGATACACCGTCAATAATACATAATTAATATACATAAAAATATAAAAATATAATTAAAAATTCTTTGCTAATAATTATCAGCTTGTAGCTTATCGTATTTTCCCGTAATTTCGTATACGTTTTGCTTTAAATCGAGTATATTTGAATGTATATTAGTTAGCTATATTTAATTGAGTATATACATATGTAACTTTTTCCGCCGTTTAGGAAACTTACATATCTCCATGTAAAAATAAGGAACCTAAAATATAAGTAGCGCAATTGGTGTACTGACCTAAAATTTAAGCGGCGCAATAAAGTACAAATATTGTTTTAAGCGCAACTGGTCCATGCCCGTCAAAACTAGTACAACTATGATATCTCATTCGTCATACAACTAGTTGTTGTTGGGTGACAGTCAGACAACACCTGTTTGTACGCTTATCATACCCATGCACACAAGTCGGCTGGCGAGTACAGTTCTAAAATTAAACAGGGTAAATTATGTCAAAAATTCAAAAAACACCATTTACCCATAATTTAAAAACCTGATCTATATTGAATACATTTTTAAGATTTTTAACCATGGTTTATTTCCAACATTAAGAATTTGGAAAAAAACATAAAAGTGGCTAGGATTCATACTAAATTAATTTAAAATCCTATCTCGCTTTTATTTAGTACAATGTTTTAATAAATAATTAACACAATATAATATTATAATACTATTCATTACCATTTTTGGTATTGGAATTTGTCTCATCACGTGATTCATTAACAGACATCTCACATATATTGGTAATACTTGAACTGCTAAGTTTATCTGTATAAAATAGATTGATGTATAATATTTGCTTATTAAGAAACCATATTTATAAAATATATTTTTTCAAATAATGTTACAAAATATATGACTGTATTAGGTAAATAATGAATGCGAAGGCGAACTATTAATATAATAATATGTATAATAATGAAAAAAGTATAGTTTTTTTTTTCATTTAAATTTTATTTCAAGTTAAGAGTAGTTTAAAATGCGCAAGCAATTTATATTTTTAAAATACTCATAAGTTGCTTTAAAATTAAAATATATGTAAAACCTGAGGTTCGCCAGACAAAATCTTAATTCTAAATTTGATAATAGATGTAGAAATGGATAATTTACGCAACAAATCATCGGTAAATTTACCAATAATGAACTAAAAATGCATCTATTGTTCTGTATCAGTATTCAGTACACATTTATAATATTCCTAATTCAATTAATCAATAATTTAAATTAAATTATCAACATTAACACATCATTCCCTTTATTTAAGATTCTGAGTGGAACGATGAATGTATTGATTTTACAATGATGTGTTTTTTTTTTTTTTTTTGTCTGTGTACAGTGTACTGTGTGGTCGAAATAATGCTTCGATTTTCAACTTCAGTATCTTGTTCGATTGGAAAGTGAATAACGTTGGTGCATTGGGGAGGTCAAAATTAAAATTTCCCAGTAGTTTTCAAAAGCGCCGGGAAAAACAAAAGAAAAATTAAGGAAAAACGGGAATTTTTACGCAAAATCTGTTTTCGAGAAAATCGATTTTGGTTTTTGGTGTGACTTTAAAACAAATGACCGTAGATACATGAAATTTTCAGTGGTTGTTTATATTTGCATTTTCTATACACGATAACATTTTCAAAATATTTTGATTTATTTTGAACTGTTTAGGGACATTTTCAGTTTCCAATTTTATTAGTTTTTTTTTTATGAATATCAATAAAAATGTATTTGTTGAGTAAAAATACTTGAAAATTTAATACAAGGCCCCTACTATATTATTTCAAAGACAGATGAAAAATATTAAAAATCGTTAGTCACAGTTTTTTTTTTTAAGCATTTAAAATTCAAAAAATGACAAAATATGGAAAAATCACGAAAATTTGCAAATTATTTCGAGTTAGAAATTCATAAAAATTTTTCTTTTGAAATCTAAGATATGAAAATGTAATACAAGATTCCTTATAAGATTTCCTACATTTATCAAAAAAAAAAATTCTATAAGAAAGTCAAATTAAATTCTTACAACATTGGATATTCGCCCGATTTCTCATGTGTCAAATTCCTTATTTTGTTGTAATTCAAAAACGAATTACTGTAGATACATGAAAATTTCACTGAATGTTTATATTAGCATTTCCTATACACCATACAATTTTGAAAATATTTTGACTCTATTTGAGCCGTTTACGGACATTTTCAGTTTTCAATTTTTTTAGTTTTTTTTTTCTATAAATATCAATAAAGTTTTATCTGTTGGGCCAAAATGTGTAAAAAATTAATACAAAGCTCCTGATATATTGTTACAATATAAGTTGAAAAATATTAAAAATACATAGGCACAATTTTTTTTTATAAGCATATAAAGATCGAATTTTGACAAAATTTATCAAATTTAAAATTGAATAATTATTTTGTAGTTAAAAATGTATAAAATGTTCAACTTTTATATCTACGGATTAAAAATTTAAAACAAGATTCCACATATATAGTTAATTCTGTTACCAAAAAATCTAAAAAATACATAAGCACAGTTTATTTTTATAGTCATTTTAAGTCCAAATTTGGACAAAATTACATAAAAAAAAACCTAGAATAACTATTTTAGTTATTTTGTTGTTATTGTGTAATTTTATTCGTGGGTAGTACTTGATACTTCTAAAGTACACTATTATATATCTATGGAGTATGGACTATGATAGTATCAGGGTTTGTTGTTGACGCATAACGCATATAAGTACCTAATGGATATTGTGATATGATTAATTGGAATTTATTATGGGTCCCTATTTTAGGTAAATTTTTTTAATACGATAGATAAGTATATAATATGTCTTATACCTAGACTGACATACCGTCTCCGCTCAGAATCGTTTTTCTTATACAATGATATTATATCATTGAATTAAAATTGAATACTATCCATTATACAGTGACCCACTTGTAACCTACTATACAGCAGAGCACCTTTGTAGTTATTTGTTGTATTGGGATATTGTAATATTATATAGTATATAAAATGTATAAAACTTTTTAAATTTTAGGCAGAGAAATGAATAATAATAATAATAATAATAGTTTATTTAAACTCAACTCAATCCTTCTAATATTATTTTTTTTAAAGCGTCATAAGAATTTTAAACAAAACTCCTCAAAATCACAAAAATTATTTAGAGTAATTATGTAAAAAAAATATTCTATTTATACATAAGATACAAAAATTATTAAGGATACATAGGAATGATTTTTTTTTTGTAATTCTTTTAAGTTTAAATTTTGACATAGGTAATTTGTCAAAAGTACCAAAAATTACGAATTGTATGTTAAAAATATTCAATTTTTATACCCAAGGATTGAAAATTTAAAACAAGGTTTCTCATACTGTAATCAAAAAATCTAAGATATTTTAAGTTCAAGTATGGACTTGAAAAGTAGATATTTAAACAAGGAGTAATAATTTTAGTTATTTTGCTGAAATTTAAAAATATTATTTATGGGTACTTGAAACTGTTTAAGTATATTATTATATTATTTAATTCTATGCAAATGCAATTTTTTGGCAAAAATTAATTCAACCAACCTTATTACTATAATGTCTAGTATAATAGACGTCTTTGCTCAAAATTGTTTATCATAATTATGACTTTACAACTATTGCTCTACTACTATAATAATTATAAGTACTGTTGTCTGTTTTACTTTATGGCTATAATCTTCAAAAATTGTTTAAATTTATAAGTGTTCCGTGATTCGAAAACGTTAAGAGCTACTGATATAAAGAATAACAAAATGTAAACTTACGAATGGATAATATATCACCAGGCAAACAACGAACTTTCAAAAAGTTTTCTACAAATGGTGTATTTTCTACCTTTAAACCTCCAAGATTTGCTAGAAAATTAAATTTTATTAGATTATAGATCTTTAAAATATTAATAACACAATTAAGATTTACATACCTGTAGTATTGGAATGTTGTTCATTATTCTTTAGAACCAAATGATGAGAAACTAAATGTTCTAACGCATTTCTTACATAATATTGTTCAGAAACTATCGGTAGTTTGTGATCACATGCTTCGCAATGTCCATCCCATACTACAAATTGATGATTCTTATTTATATGCTCGCAAAAATCAATAAAAACTACAGAAGAAAATTGATTTTCTCGGCAATTTGATACTGAACATTTGAACAATAATATTGAATTCATCAATTCACAACTTAAACCAGCCATGACACATTTGTTAGATTTTTCTTTTAATGTGTATTTAGAACAATCAATCGCAAGCGGCTCTGTGGTGATTATTGTTCCTTCTTTAGGAGCTAATAAAAAAAAAATCCAAATTTAATAAATACCAATAGTCCTTAAATATATACTTACATTGATTAGCTTGTTCTGGTAAAAATTGAAGTTTAGCCGACTCTAGAACTTTGTCACAAACTGTTACTGGAGGATTTGCATGAGTAACTGATTTTGGCAGATTTTCAACAATGTCAATATTTGACTCTTGTGGAATTTCATCAATATTCTGTTCATTGGATTCTTTTTTAATGGATAAAAAGGAATTTGGTTGTATTTTCTCGTTTGATAGTACGTTTAAATCCATCACAGTTGTTTGTTGATTTTGGTCATCATTATCTTTACTTTTAGAAATAACTTGATCAGACTCAATAGGAGGTAAACATCCCACCAAATTATCAAAATCAATTGAAGAATCTGTGTATATTTTATCTGCCATAGACATACTAATACGTATAGCTGTCCAATGCCCATTCAATTTTTTATCTTCATCAAAATGTTGTGATACCATATGTTTGACTAAGTTATTATAATCAAGTTGAACATAATAACAAAAGGAACATAAATATCCAAAAATGTATTTACCACAGATCGGATTTGGAAATATTAAATGTGAAATTCCACCAGTTTTATCATAGTCGGTGTGTTCTAAAATATGTTTATCCAAATCATCTTCATTTGAATAGATGTGTTCACACATTTTACATTTGTACCTATATTCTCCAGTGTGACCAGTAATATGATCATAGAACTTAAAATAATCATGGAAAATAACTTGACAAAAAACACAGGTATAGTTAACATTCACAGATCGATGAAAAATTGGTTCTAAATCTTGGGAATTTAAATTTCCAAAATTTTCTTTTAAAGATTGATGTATTAATGATTCAGTACAATTCTTGGGTAATCTGGATGGTAAAACTTCTTCCTCGCAATGTTGATCTTTATAATGGCGAACAATATTCAATCCTTTATCCTTGTAATTACAAAACTTACATTCCAAAGAATTATCAGCAGTTTGAAAATAAAATTTATCCTTACATTTGTTTTCTATGACAATTTTAGATGTTATTTCAGTAGATATATTGTTTTTCAACACATTATTCGATTCAAAATCATCAGACAATGCCACATTTAATCGCTTACGATTAGACTTCATAAGTTTCTTGTTTCTCTTTTTTGTTTTTTTTGATTTATCCTGTTGCTTATTGGATTTTTTATTTAAGATTGCAGTTTTCGCAACTACTGGTGGTGCAGTTTTGTTTGCCATAGACTTTTTAACAAATTTTTTCTTTGTATTTAATTTTACTGTAGATTTTTTTATTTTATTTTTTGTGTTATTTTTTGTTCCTACATTACGGTTTAACTCGTTTTGATCATCATTTGAATCTAATGGTACAATATTTGACGTTTTCTTTTTCTTTGACATAACTACATTTGTATTTACATAGTCAATTTGTTTATTGGTTCTACATTGTCGTATATTTGAAGCATTTAATACAGCTTCACAATCAAACATTTCACTAATATCAGCATGAAGTTTATCTAATTCTGACGGTCTAGCCTTTTTAATTTCTGGTTTGTTGACAATAAAAGTTGATGTATCAGAATTCTGTTTAATTGATTTATTTAAGTTTGTTTCATCATCAAATGGCTTAGGGTTTTGAAGAGGCCGTATTAAAACAATGGGTTGTTCTGTCATTAAACTATTTAAGGTTTCAGAATCAAATTTTAATTTTTTATTAAGTCTATCAATGGATTTTGATCCATTTCTAACTTTTTTAGTTTCAAATTCATACGGATTTTTAATATCACATTCACTTTGGGAATTATTCTTTTCCATTTCCATTTTTTGTCTTGCTAATTTAACACTTAATGGACCTAAAAAAGGTTTCTTTGATTTCATTTCTTGAGTTATTTCAACATTTATTGGTTTATCATTGATTTGTACATCATTACTTGTACTTGAAATATCTGAACTACAGTTATCACTTCTCTTAATATTTTTATCAAACTTAGCAATAACAATTTTCAAGTCTTTTAATTCCGGTTTACATTTATCTTTAAGTATTTCAAAATTTCCATAGCTTTCTTTAGATTTTTTACGTTTGATAGATTTTAGTTTATGTTGATCAGTTGACGAATGGCTATTTTTAATTTTGGTTTTTACTATATTTTCTGCTTTAAAATTATTATCTGATATGTCATTAAAAAATTCATTTTTAGTTTTTTCAATAGAAGATTCTTCAGTAACACTTTTATTCATTTTTCTCAGTTTCCTTTTTTCTTTCTTCATTTTTCTTTTAATCTTTTTTTTTTCATTGATTTCAATTTGTTCTTTAGTATATATACCTTTTTTTTTTAATTTATCATCATTGGCAATGACATCTGAACTTTCTAACAATTTTTCAAGTTTTTCCATTTTGTCTTCATCTTGAAGTATACTTAGTACAGACATAAACTTAGGATTTTTCAAAATGTCAATTAAAGCTTTCTCATCAATTTTAGGATTATTATCAGCTGTAGAATTAATTTCATTAGAAGAAACAACATTTCTTTCTTGACTTTTACACACAATTTCAGTTGTTGTAGAATTGACAACTCCTGATTGTTCCTTCGATGTAGATGATATAACGTCAAGTCCGATTTCAGTCGGTCTACTAACATTTTCCAAGTTCGGAATTGATCCATTATCAAGGTTCTTACTACATTCACCAGATTCCAATGTCTTATAAATTTTTGTTGTATTGTCTTTTTCAAATTTTGGCTTTGAGTTGTTTACTTTTATAGTATTTATGATGCCTTCTTTTTTCATTAGAGAACTCCTTGTTCTGGTTCTTGGACCCCATCCACCATCATTTAAACTCTCGGCAGCATCTTTTATAATTTTTTCAAATTCTTTTTCCTTGGAATACTTTTTATGTTTCTTGGGCTTACTCCGGTCGGTAGGGTTTACTAAAATGCTATTTTGTTCAGATTTAGAATTAAGTTCTTCCTTATTAACCTTACTAGGAATGTCAACAGGAATTTCTTCAAGATTAGTTTCTGGGCAACTAACTTCTTCTGATTTATTGTTCATCATCATTGTTTTATTTCTTAGATCTCCATCTGTACTACTATTTTTAGTTATTTCAGTATCTGAGGTTTTACATGTATGACTATCAATAACTTTATCAGTTATTTTGAGGTCTTTTTTTGAATTTTTACTTGTATTTGTTTCAGATTTCTGACAATTTACTAAATATTGTTCTCTAATTGAATCAGCTTTCAAGTGTATTTTGGATTTCTTCTCAGTTGTTAATACATCTGTATCATTTTTAATATCCACAAATGTTTTAAGTTTAGAGTTCCTTTCTGCACTGTTATCATTAAGTTCTTCATTATGTTTAATTTTAGGTATCTTAAATTTCTTAATATTGGCTGTTTCATTTACAGGTCCAAAAGTATTATAAGAAGAATCAATGATGTTACATTTTTCCATTTTCTCATTGACTAAGCTACGATATTGATCATGGTCCTGGTTCATTTGGTTTTTATTCTTTAGATAACCTTTATTTTTTTCTCTGAACTTGGCTTCTCTATGTTCTTTGTAATTATGATGAACAATTGTTTTAACACTTTTCAATGTTCTTGGATCTCTTTTGGATGCTTCATAACTATGAGATTTGTATGGCACTGGATCACAGTATTTGGTCAATGGCTCAATATGGGATGGATTAACATGCATTTGGGTAGAATTACTGAATGGACTATAGTCGTTTTTTTTATCATCACTACGATTATGTTTGTTTTGGTTTAAAGACAATGACCTGTTTTTAAATAAAATAGAGTTTCCATTATGTTCTGAAGAAAATAGTGGATTTAACGGTTGAATATTTGTATGACTTGATGAACTTTGGCCATTATATATTTCCTGTGCTCTAGTATCAAACAACTTGGTATTTGAATTGTCTCTATTTGGAACAAAAGGAGTTTGAGTATTAGTTGAAAAAGTATATTGCGCATTTGATATTAATGATGCAGGTGTATTAAATGGGTTAACATTCTTTCCAGAAGTTAATAAAGTTTTATGCCTTATTCTTGGATCACGAGGGACACTTATGTCAACGAGAGATGTTTTAACTTCAGTACTTTTCTCATTTGATTTGATAACTGGTCTAAGAGACTCTATATGCAATGAAGCACGAACTACTTTTGAATTTTCAAGATCAATTAATGTACCTGGTTTTAAAGCAGATATAAACTTTTGTTTAGTTTCATTTAATGGACCAGTCTTGTGCAATTTATTTATTTCAGGGTTCAAGTGTACATGGATATTGGTCGAAGATTTACTTAATAAAACATTATCACTTGTTACTTCACTAGAATTTGGTTCAGTGGTTGATATTAAATTTATTCTTGATGCTCCCAAATCCATAAGATCCGATGGGGGTAATGGTGGTGGCTGAACAGGTTCCACACAACTAGCTCTTTTTATACTGTCTATTACATTTTTTACATAGTTAACATCAATATCGTCCATGTTGATACCTTTTAGCATATCCTTATAAATAACTGGGCCATTTTTTTGGTTGATCATTTCATCAAAAATTTGTGTAGTAAGTTCAGTATGCGGTACAGATGCATCAGACTTATTAAGTTTTTCAATAGAAGCATTGGTTGCAAAACCAATTATCTTATTAAGCCTTAAACGACTGTCTGAGAACTCTGGTAGATCATTCTTTGCAAGCAAAGAATCATTGATTGAATTTTTGCTGCAAGATGACTCGCCAATTTCAACATTTTGATTAATAATATTCTCATTATTTGGTGGCGAATCTTTTAAACAATCCATTTGATTGTTTACCATTTTTTCATAACTAGTACTTGGTACTGGTATTTTATTGGAAAGTTCAGACTCACTATTTGGTTTTGATTACTTTTGTTAGATATACATCTTACTTCTGAGGATGATCTGCCAAGAAAATATTTTATTAAAAAAAAGCTTAATTGGTAAAGAATTCCTTATTTTTACTAACAATTTTGTAAATGTATTTAGATACAGATAAAAAAATTAATGATATATAAAGAAGAAAACACTACTTACACATTATTTTCTTCGTCATTTAACTTTGGTTCATGCATCCAACTAGTTTTAAAGTCTGGAGGTAAATACTGTGAAAGTTCAGATGTATAAGTTAGTATAAAAAACATTACAACTATACTCTGGCCCACGAGAGAGTATTACCGTCGCCCGACGAAAACTCGTCCAATTCGCGCATTCCTCACTACTCGGCATGTGCCGACAACTGCTCGGTACCAGTCGGCAGCGCTCAACGCTATACGGTGTATAGCGGTCGCGGAAATAGTGGGGAAAATGGGGCTTCGGAATGGTCTCTGCCGTCAGTCTGCATGCGCAAAACGGTAATACTCTTTCGTGGGCCGGAGTATAGTGTATGTTAAATATGCCTTAGTCATTTTAATTAGTATATATTATATAAGATATAAGATATAAACAAATAAAATGTAAATAATAATAAAAATCTACTGTTCTTATGCATCATTTGGACTTTATTCAAACAAACAAATTATTATATATTATAACAAAATATTTTTATAATAAATTAAGACTAATAATAAAACACTTACGTAGTTTAACGGATTACTGTAGTTACCGTATAAATCATAAAATACTTTTTTACAAGTTTTTAGTCGACCTGGTGACAACCTAAGAAAAAAAATTATATAAATACAAACAAAATTTCTTGTTAAAAAAATAGTGAATAACATAATATTGTAATAACTAATTGTTATATTCAATTATTTATTTTGATTCCAAACTTTAAATGATTTAGTGATAAATAATTACAAAATAAAATACAAGTACATGAGAAACAAATAATAATATATTATGGTTGATATAAATATTAATACATTTTATTTGTAAAACAATAATGAACAATTTTAACACAATGATTTAGTTTCTGTGTATTTTTTTTATGAAGTCCCTAAAAATAATTTATAAGAATTCTATTTATCTACTTAAGTAAATAATTTCACTATTATTCCGAAGAGGTTTTAATTAATAAAATAAAACATCTTTTTAATCGTTGGAAACAAAGAATAGAATTTCCCAATTGTACATATTATATTGATACTATGGGTAGGTATATAATTTATGAGAACTAATTAAATATTAATTCAATATAATACTATGTAAACAAAACTCATTTTTAAGTATTTGTACTTCCATGCATAAAATTGTAGTCTTTGTTTATTTTGCATATAATATCATACAAATAATACCTAATCACAATTTTAATACATAATTATAGGACACCTCAACAATTTATAATTAAAATAAATGTTTTATATAAGAGTATTTCAAAGTTGTATTATTACATAATGTTATTTAGGTAAGCTGCAAATTATATAGTTATTATATAAAGTTAATCTTGGACCAATCCTCTTCAAATATGACATTAGCTTAAGAATATTAAAAACAGTAATACATCTAGGTAGATCGTAGGTACTTAAAATTGTTCTAATGTAAAAATTATTTAGATAGGTATTTGTCATTCGTAACAATAAGAAAATTATAACATTAATAAATAAGAGCCAACCTAATAAACTAGTACAAAATACAGTGGTTCTTCAGTAGAAAATGTGCAAATATTGGATAGGTAATGCAATATGAAACTTCAAATAGTGACTATTAAGGGTGCAATTAAAAAATAGTATTTACCATAAATCACAAGATAAATCCAAACCCATTAATAATCTGAAACACCATAATACATTTTTCATCTATGACATATTATAAAGCTAAAATGTAAACTAAATGTGAAGTATTAAAATTATTAAAATGTTGGTTAATTTAGGAACTACGTGTATAAATTTATAAACTACAGATCATTTATGAGAATTGTTTCGTAATCATTTTAAGTAATCTGTAATAATATATTTTCGAAAGATAACCTTCATCAAATGCACCATAAACCCAATGGCTAATATATCTGCTTCCTTTGAATTCAAAGGATTAAATAAATACCTAAAAAGTTTTTTCTCATTACTTTCTGTTAAAATATTATCTATATAAAACTGAGAAAATAAGAGATCCACATTTTGATGATACAAAATTAAAATTGTACGAAATAAATACACAATGGATGTCAGCATATAAGTGTGGAACACCGGCAACACTGTATAAACAAAAATTCTAAATTAAAATCATAATTTTTACTTTTTTGTAAATTAAGATGATTTTTTTTTTACGGCATTCTCATAAGTGTTTATTTTCAATCAAGTATCTGTACTTAACCTACACCAAAGAATAATACACAATATTTTAATGTTTACAAATTAGAACCTATGACGAGTAAAATGTAATATAAAAACAATTGGCATGATGCTATAATAATGGTTAACGTAAGACCTGGCTAACCTTTTGGAGTCCACCAGTTCGTACAAATACTGCAACTTAGATACGCGATCGGGTAGAATGCCTAAAAGTTCGCTGTTGTTGATGACTTGTGTGAGAAACGGTAAGAACGTCTGGAGGTGCGTCAGCAGTTTTTCGTAGTAATGTTGGTCTTCTGAGCACAAAATATACAAGGAGAGGTTATAGTTAGGTTCGGTTACGAACAAAAAGAATACAATAATATACCTTCGGGAGCCTCGTCGACTCGAAGGGGTTGGTTCGCATCACGGGGTGGGTCTTCGGCATCTCCCATTGCTTCGAAAAACACGTGGTCGATATTTTACCGAAATGCAGGAGACGTACTCGCCCAACCACGGCCCAGTAGCAAATGAAGTTTTAACTGACAAAAACGAAAAACAAAGATGGCGGATATTCTAGAAAGATGTGGTGGGGAGGATGACGCAGTCGCGGTGGCGTCGAGTGCACTGACGAAAAATCTGGTTCGGGCGGTACGACGATGGTACGCGTACCATAATATAGGCACGTGGTAACTCGTCGGCAAAAAAGGAAAACTCGCCAACGGTCGTATAACATTCACATGGTAATCGACGACAACCCGTGTGGTAAAACCGAGTTCAAGCGGGTGAGTTTGGATAGTCGGGACGATACAAAATCGAGTGGTGACAAAAGAAACATGCGCGCACGCCGAACGGTGAGAGGCTCTGCAGTTGTGTGCGCTACCGAGTACATGCACCGAGCGTTGCAAGGCGGCGACGGAACGACGACGGTCAGGCACAAAACGAACGAACGGCCGAACAGTGGTAAAACAGAAGAAGGACTGTGTACTGTTGTCTGTTCAGTGTTCACTGTGGGCCCGTAACTTGGTGCTGTGAGCGAACGCCGGACGAAACTACGAACGGTCTACGGTTGCGGGTTGACCCGATGATGGTGCGCGGGGTGCGGTGTAGTGTTCGTCGCCGCGCTCGCGCCGTCCTAGCGATACAGCAGCTATAGACTATAGTGCCATTTTTGCTTCAAAAAGGTGGTGGGGAGATTTGCGTTCGCGCTCCGCGCTATACTTTTTGTCATTAGTCAGCACTCGGCTGCAGTCTTGAGTCTTCCGAATTCGTTCGACGCGTCGCGACGTGTTCGCAAAATCGTTCTAGAATATTCATTTCAGCGACGGACAAGAGGTTTACCATTGTAGTGTACCAGTGTCGACCGATAGCGTTTGGCCCTTTGTCATCGCATCGTTTCCCGCTTCTTATTCTACAGTGCTGTCCCCGACGCGATAACGAAAATGCGCGTCGGCGGCGGCTCAAAGATCCATCAGTTGCCTACAGCTGTTGTAGTTAATCATTACTTCGCGTTAAAAAGATCGTAATTCAGGTCGTCACGTTGCCACTCGGTTTCCGGTTTTGTTGTGTTTGCGATATTTATTATTTACTGATATTTTTTTCTCCTGCGATATTTACCAATAACTCCGACAAATGGCTCCGACAAATGGCTCCGACGATTGATGATTTCGTGTTGTACTGTTTTACACACATTATGCAATAAATGAATAAACGTTACCAATGTTATTGTATTAAATATGTTTCGTCGTTTTTTTTTGTTATTACTATTGTTACTATATTATTGTATTCACTATACACATACGAGACAGACCGTAGGGTGAAAAAAATTGTCACAAATACTGTTAGGTTAGGTCGGGTAGGTTATAACTTACAGATTGCCGCGAGTTTAGTTTTTAACAAAAGTGCGATTTGTTAGTCGCTACGATTGAAAAGGCTATAGAACGAGCATAATATTACGCTAGTTGCGAGTTACGTCGCGTCGTAGAAAAGTTCCAGAAGCGAATAGTATCCCTTTCTTAAATTCGCCGATGAACAGTTTCAATTTTCATTTGAGGACGTGGCCGCCTTTCTGTGTGAGTCCGCCACGCACGTTCGTTTATTCCAAAAAAAAAAACGGTGTTCCTCTTCCTTTCTACGGCGACCTCCGATCGTTAAATTCCGACGGAGTAGACGTAATCCGTAACAAACATCGACAACACTAATAATAACAATAATATTATACCAGCAACTGCGTAACCTACAGAAAAATATCATATCGCACTTTATCCATGAACGTGGTAGGTAAATCCAGTCGTACTACTACTTTAGTACTTTCGTATATTAAAATTATTTAACTTCGTCGTGGTTATCGTAATGGGGAGGCAGCAACCACCGTAGAATATCTGAATATAGCAGGAGCAACTGCTGTATTGATATAATATGTGATGATATATTATACTATTGTAATGACGGTCACTCTCATTAATCAATATTTTCAAGGAAGAAATTGGAGTCTAGACGTGTAGCATTACCGATATCAAGCGTTCAAGAAGTTACACTCAATGCTCAAACCAGACAAACTTCAGTACATGCCGAAATCAAATTTATATTCTTGACCGATTAAAGATTTATTAAATACAAAAAACCTGACTGTAATATCTGTAAGGGCCGTTTTTTCCATGTCCGGTTAAGGTTAACCGGCCGAATTTTGCCGGTAACAAAATATGTTATTAGTCGGTTAGCGTCGACCGACTTTTTACCGGGCACTGTAAGAACGGCCCTAAATGATAATCCCGTATATAATGTTGTCACCCCATAGAATGTAGATATTAATAATTATTATTCTCATTTATTATTGGTAAGCCGCAACTCGCAAGAGAACATTTACATTTTACAATTTTACGGACGTCACGGTGTACGATGTAATGTACTAATGTCTCGGAAAAATAAGAATAGGATTTCGAGGGTATTATTCGACGAATTCTACTAATATTCACTAATAATAGGTAGGTAATACAACTATTTAAAACTAATGCGGGCGCACAGAGATTGTTGTCGCGCAATAAGTAATAACTAAGTACCTACTAAATACATATATAGTTTTCACTGTTCCACGACGAAATGAGTTTTTAATTTATGTTCAGCTATTAGAAACACTATAGTCTCTGTCGTTTGTCATTTCTCAGTAGAAATGTCCAAATAATATAATTATTATAATAATCATATGGGTAAGATATTTTACATAATACAATAAGTTTACCTATCATAATAGACTGTGCAGTGTTCAACGATAAAGGTGACAACAAATATTTGGAAAGCATAACCCTGAAATTCTTTCAAGTTTTTTTACATAAAGTGCCTAGTATTCTTAATTTTTAGAAATGTCTACGCATCCGCGGTTAAAAAAAAATAATGTTGAACCGTTAAGAAATAGGAACATTTGTTCTACAAAAGATTAAAAAACAAATTACCATTTTACATATTTTTGTTTGTACTAATGACACATCAGTATTCACTCCACAATTTTTTTGTTACTAAAATATTATTATTTTATAAAGGTGTCTTAAAATATCGGTGAACCATTAGAAAAAAATAGTTTGAAAACCCATATTATGTCAAACATATTATTCCCTATGGGCGGGTTAAATATTATGGAGAACAGTATGTAAATTTGTTACCGGCCCCGTAATTTATTCATTCGATAAGGTTAATGAGTGTTGAATAATAACATGACTTAGATATACAAGGTCATTGCACATAGTCTATATTGTTATCAAACGAAAATAAAATGGCAGCGTAAGGGTACATATCTTAGTATACATCGTAGTATAGCCAGTAAAAGTCGTCCCCTTACACTGCAGCCATTTTAATTTCGTAACGAGATAAAATGATATAGACGGGGGGGGGGTACTATAATTATTGCGATAACCTTGTATATTTAAACGGTGCATTATTACATAAAGAAATATTTCATTATTGATAACCGTTATTACCAAATAATATATTAAGCTACCAAACAACAATGATATTTTACCTAACCAAAATCCAACTTGTGGTCTGTAGCTTATAGGTCCGGTAATCAATAGTTTACAAAACCACTATAGGGCGTTCAAACAACGCCCAGTTTTGTTTAAAAAACTGTTCGGTAAGTCGCTACAAGAGTACAGGACGTTTGTGCAACCCTCCCCAAGGTTTTTACAATAGACGATTTTGCTCTAAGGTTACTCAAAAATAACGATTGTGAACATACCTGTCATGCGTGAGACCAAATATTGCGCTAATATCCTCTTTTTTGAATTCGGTTCCTTATAGAGTCTTGCGGAGATTGTATGATTATAATATTATAATACGGTAGAGTACCGTGATGTGTAATGTAGTTTAGAGATTTTACAAAAAAAAATTAACAATCGCCTCCCTCCCAAAGGAAATTCCTAATTACGCCACTTGCACTCCAAGCGGTGGTCACTAAAAAATATGCAGTGCTACCCTTTAGAATCATATACTGTATGGATGTGGTTATGTGTATTACACCGAATTTGTGTATCTTCCCCACCAGAATCACATTTAACAGGTACAATGTAACTAGACACAATACCATTGAGCCCCTCAGGCCTCAACTGAACAGTGCACGAAAAATTGGTTCCGATCAATTAGTAGGGAAGTCAGTCCCTGGCAGACGGCAGCGCTAGTTGTTCAAACACCACGGGATGAAAACAAGGTATATAGTCGTAAAGAAAAATATAGTTATATCACAGTGTACTAGTGTGGTTCAGATGTCAGTCATTACGATCGCTGCATATTATGTATTATGAGGAACGACTTTTTCGTCCTAGTAGGTCATCTATTTTATACGTTATCTATGATTACTACGGCATAATATTATTATCGTTCAGTGTTCTGTGATTAATCGTATGTGAGAATATTATCCAGAATCAGTTATCAGGTATAAGTTCAACGCACAGATATCTGTAATATAATACTATGATTTAATGGTAAAATAAAAAAGTAAATGTAAAACGATTTATAAAAAAATATTTTTTAATTTTTAAAAACAACAGGTTTAGAAATAATAAAATACAATACAAGATAAATCATAATTTATCTTATTTACCATAATATAAAGTAGTATACAGTTGAACCCCGACCTTTATGCTTCAATTTATGGTCGGAGTCGGTATCTAGTACTATGTGGATATCTGTGAATTGTGATTATAATAATATAGGAGTACCTTAACTAGTAGTATAGATATCTGTGGTTCAACCGTACGTTATCGGTTGTCACTACTCACGAACCACCAGCTGATTCTGGGCACGCCGTCGGCGTAATTTTAAATCGTGTCACGGTGGCTCCTCGATATGCCGTTATCATTATTTAAGCCAAATCACATTTCATACCTTTGCGAGATTAGACTGCGATATTGTGATAAGACTATAAGTTTATTTATATGTATAATATGTCATATACATATATAATATATTTACATATTATGTAAATAACAAATGTTATAATACCTATTATATACAGGGATAATAAATATACTATGTAATATAATATGTACTATAATAAGTAATAACTGTAGTCTGACTGTAATATGTAAACTTTATTCCTCATTTATTCATTTATTCATTTCAATTTATTCATTTATATTTTATATAAATATATACTGTCAAAAATACTGTACACTATATGTCTATATAGTACTAAGTACTTATTTAATTATGGACTTAGCAAAAAAATCACAGGTATTATTATTTAACTGTGTCATTATTCATTAACCATTTAGATTATACAATTTATGTTACTAAATAATGTGTACCTAACCAATGAACAAAATTAATGTACAATTTTGATTTTATGGTTTTTTATTATCTAGATTACATTCAGTATATTACAACAGTATATCCTAGTTTTATGTATTATTTATGTTTTCTAGTTTTATGTTAGATTATTTATCTTGAAATATTAACATATGACTGTAATTTAATTTTAATTTAATATTTATGATTATTTTTAAGTATTAATATTTATTGTCAATACATTTAA